CCGCAGTGCTGCCCAGGGACTTAAAGGTGTTGGAACACTCTGTGGTCTTCATGTTCCAAATCTACCAGGCAGAAATGGAAGACAGAAGCATTTTTTTAACATAAGAATTTCCAAAGGTTGGAAGATTAAAAGATTAAAAATGAGAATACTGAAGAGGAGAAAATTGACTAAGGAAAAAATGCTAGTGTGGGTGCAATGTCAGTCAAATATGCAATAAACACTCATCCATTTTGCTGATGAACTGACATACACAATAGTCACAACACGAAATAATGACAGCCTTTGGAATCTATGAGCTTTGCTTACAATTTTTCCCTTGGCTAACAATTATCTGCCTTTAAACTAGTCACTGTGTTAACACTGCTACTGTCCTGGGTAACCAGAAGCATCAAACGCAAACAGGACACTTCACGCACAATCAGACAGCTGTTGGAACAAAAGATGTTGGTAAGGACGGGAATACACGGTGACTACCAGGCACTGCGCTGGTGGAAATGTACAATGATGCAGCCAAACCCACGGCCACGGAGTTGATTCCAACTCATAGCAAATTGATGGCTACAAGCCGAGCTGTCCCATAGGGTTTCTGACACTGCGAGTCTTTCTACAGGAGCACACAGACAGATGCTTAGCTCAGTGTGCCACCAAAGCTCCTTAAAAATGTCACAGAAAATGGTTTAGCAGTTTCCTATAAGCGTGGTTCACAAAAGCCCAAAGACAGAAACAACCAATGTGTCCATCAATAGCTGGACAGATAAAATGTGGTAAGCCACACCATGGAATGTTATTTAGCCATAAAGAGAAACTAAGTTCCGAGACACCACAGAACGGATCAAACTTGAAATCATGCTGAGCGAAAGAAGCCAGACACAAAGGGTAGATATTACATGGCTCTCTTTGTGTAGAGTACCTGCAGTAGACAAGTGTTTATGAGTGACTGTCAGGAGCTGGTGGAAGGAAGAGATGGGAGTGACTGCTTAAGGGGTATGGAATTTGTTTGGGTGAAGAAAACAATTGGAAATCAATAGTGGTGATGGTGGCATACATAATATGGGGAATGTAATGAATGTCAGTGAATTGTACACTTAAAAATGGTTAAAACAAACTTTATATATTTGGTCACAATATTACGAATATTTAAGTCAAATGAGGGTTTGTTAGAGCCAAATACTCAGACTCTATCCTGCAATCAGGGTTGGGCATGAGCAGGTGTATTTTTAAGGGATTCACAACAGAAAGACTTTCTAGACACACCCATACAACTTATGGGACGAGTTTCCTGGATTAGAAGGCCGGGACCATCGTTTTGGGGGCAACTTGGTCAAACTGGCAAAACACAGTCCACAGAGATATTTTTTAGTCACATTATTGCGGGCTGTACAGCTCCTGACGCAATCCATACATCCATCGACTGTGTCAACCACATTTGTACATGTTGCCATCATCATTTCCAAAACATTTTCTCTCTACTTGAGCCCTTGGTATCAGCTCATTT